TTTTAAAAAAGAACAAATAAGATTTGTACCAAGAATTTAACAGTGGTTTAACATCAGAAAAGCTACTGACATTGAATTATCATATTAATAGATTAAAAGAGAGGAAGAGCTAAGCACTGTGTCACACACCTGTAATCATAGCAGCTTGGGAGGATGAGGCAGGAGGATTGCAAGTTCAAAGCCAGCTTAGCCTGAAGCCCTAAGCTACTCAATGAAATCCTGTCTCAAAAAATAAATAAATAAATAAACTAATTAAAAGGGCTGGGGATGTGGCTCAGTGGTTAAGCACCCCTGGATTCAATCCCTGGTTACAACAAAAAAAAAAGGGGCAAGGGTTGGAGATGTAGCTCAGTGGCAGAGTGCTTGTGTAGCATATGTGAGTGAGGTCCTAAATTCAATGCCCAGCACCACCAAAAAAAAAAAAAAAATTAATACATACACACACACACACACACACACACACAAGAATGTTCCTAACAGCCTTATTTATTTTAGCTCAAAACTAAAAGCAAACTCAAATGTCCATATATACATATATACCTATTCAAAATGAAAACTTTTGGCAAAATAGGGACAAAAATATTTGATTAAAAGAGACTACCAAAAACCAAGCAAACAAAACTCTTGATGTGAACATATAAGAAGTGTTCCCTGTAAAGTCAGGAATAAAACAAGAATGCCTATTATCACCAATTACATTGATCATTCTGAATATGGTGTGCTTTAAAAAATCTAATTGTTTCTTTTCCATTGGGTCACACGTCATGTCATCATATCCTGTTATAGCCTATTCTTTCCTCCAGATTTGTAAAACCTCCTCTGTTTCTAGCCAATCTAGTGAAGGAGGGGGACAAAGAGAAAAGGAGAAGCAGAGAAGGAAACATATGTACTTCGTGTACAAGAATGTTCCCAACAGCCTTATTTATTTTAGCTCAAAACTAAAAGCAAACTCAAATGTCCATCAACTATAGAATGGATACAAAAATTGTGGTATACGCATTCAGCAGAAGACTACAAAGAAAGGAAAATGCACAAACAACTGTTTCACAAATCCCACAAATAGACTGTTATCAGAGCCAGACAAAAAAAGAATCCATGGAGCTTGAAAAGAATAAAACTATCCTATGTTAAAATCAATATAGTAAGCTATCTTTCAGAGGGTGAAAGGGACATGAAAGGGACATGAGGGAAGCTTCCAGAATACAAGCAGCATTCTATTTCTTAATCTAGGTGATGGTTACATGGTTGTATTCATTTTATGTCAATTCATGAACTACACACTTTACAATTTAGGAATGCACTTTTCTGGATATATGTTATCACTAAAATTTTTTAAATGTTTCATACATAAAAGTAACAAAAATGATATACTACTAACAAAAATAAATCGATTAAAAAATTGTGCAAATATTTCTGGTGAAAACTTGACAATGTGATTATAAATTTCATATAGAAGAGCAAAAAGCCAAGAAGAAAAAGTATATGTCTGATGGAGGGAAAGATCTGTACCACTACATCAAGACTTTCTGACAGTGATTCAGGTAGTAAGGAATTTAGTGCAGGGAGAGAAAGGTAACTCAACAAAATAAAAGCTCCAAAATTAAAAATATTCATACAAAGAAACCTGACATTCAACAGAGAAGGCATTACAAATCTGGAGAAAAGAATGGGCTACAACAAGTGATGGTGACACAGTCTGTGTCCCCTATGGAAAAGAAACTTAAAATTAGATTTCTCAATGCACTCCATATTCAGAAACAAATCACCTTGGGATAGGAAGAATTTTTTGAGGAACACATAAAAAGCCCAAATAATAAAGGAAAGGACTAAAATTATGACTCCATTAAAACTTATGTTCAACAAAGATACCAGAAACAAAGTAAAAAGCAAAGAAGACACTTGTAACACATATAATCAACAAAGAATTAGTATCCCTAATGCAGAAAGACTCCAATATCTAAGAGAAAAAGTCAGGGGCTGGGGATGTGGCTCAAGCGGTAGTGCGCTCGCCTGGCATGCGTGCGGCCCGGGTTCGATCCTCAACACCACATACAAACAAAGATGTTGTGTCCGCAGAAAACAAAAGAATAAATATTAAAAAAATTCTCTCTCTCTCTCTCTCTCTCTTTAAAAAAAAAAAGTCAAGCAATCTTATAAGGAGGCAATCAAAGGAGATGGAACTGAGCAGCCTATAGACTATCCAAAGATGCTGCTGACAGACTGTGGTAGAGTCTAAAGCTGCAACGCCAGGTTTGTAGTTCACCCACTAGCTAGATATGACCACAGGCAAATTATTTTTACAAATGTACCATGCTCTTCTCATTTGTAGAATAGTGTGATCTCAATTCACTAGAAAATCATAATTCCTTTAATGGATAAGGATTGAATGAGTAAATAAATGCATGATAACTTTTAAAAATATGTAATACAATAAATACAAATCAAATGTTGTGGCTAATTATCACTCTTATCAGAATATAAGTCTTTTAAGCACTAAAGCTCTTTCAGCATTTAATTTTCCTTCCAACAAAAAGGAGGTCTGCATGAAACCAGAAAAGGAAAGTCAGTGGGAAAATATTCAGCATATTTCTAGCACCATCCTTGGGAGTGGACTGCCCGACCCCCACTGCAAACAGCTGGTCTGCCTGACAATTTTCTGTCACTCATTTAATTCAGTCAACAAAATATTTTAATATATACTATGTGTCAGGCCCTGTTAGGTGTTAAATAACAAAGAAAGAGACTATCTTCATTGGATCCAATATGGAAGGCAGGTAACAAATAAAAATAAATCTTATGATTGAGCAATTAATTAATGATTGCTCTTCTAAGTGCATCAGAGGTAAAATAACTGTGTGCACAAGTACATGTAATGGGAACTGACCTAATTTAAGAGGTCAGGGAAGGCTTCCCTGAGGAAGTGGCATTTAAGCTAAGACCTGCGGTACATCAAAATCTCATTCTTGGATGACACAAGCCATTAAGATCATCCATCTAACTCCACGGTTTAATACCCCCTTCACCAAAAACCTTCTGGTTTTAATTATACTTCCAACATGCATCTTCCCATAAGGAAGAGAATTCATTGATCCCGTCACAAGCATTCTAGTTTGCTGGGCACTTCTATCTCCAATTCTAAATAAAAAATAAATAAATTGAGCATTTTTTGAGCCACCAAGAAAATAAATGAACCAGCATGATAATAAGAAAACAGGCCCTGGGTTCTAACAGTCTCTCACTGTGACCTTTAAACTAATCATCTGAACTGTTTTGAGATATCATTACCTCATATGGATTAAGGGGAGAAATTCAGTACATCTCTGAGATCCCTGCCAGTCATGATAAGTCAAGTGCCAAATATAAGAAAACGACTAGGAGGGAGAGGGATTCATGTATCTCTACCTTTGGCTTTCTTGGTTGCAAAGTGGCGAACTGGTACAGCTGAATAGGCCATGTGTTGCTTATGGTCATGTTGTCTTCCACTCACTGTCTTCAGTGTAATATTTGAAACAGGTCTGGTCAAGGCTGCAAGGTAATTGCAAAAGGCAGGATGCATCAAGCGGAAGCACTTTAATCCCAAAGCCATGACTGAAGACAATTCCTGTGAATATCCACTAAAAAAAAGATAAATAAATAGAGACATAAAGTAGACCTAAGTAAAAGTGATGCTACTGTAAATTCAGAAAATAATTCATTCCAATTATCAAGCTATAAATTCAGCTATAGACTAGGCAAATTAAACACATTATTTCTAACCTTCCTTCTAACAGCCATACAAGGAAATATTAGCCTCCTTTTACAGGATTAAGAATATGGGGCTTAAGTAACTTGCCCATAGTTTGTAGGACTCTGAACCCTAAGTTCTTTTGACAGCACCAAAATGCCTCTATTAAGCAAATGTGCAGCAACACAAATCTTTAATGAAGCTAATTAAACCCTTATATGAGGAAAAGCACAAAATCTTGATAAAGTTGAAGGGGGGGGAGTACTAGAAGAGGGCTTTAAACTAAATAAGAAAACCATTTCAACAGGCATAAAATGACTGGAAAATTTACACGACAGCATTTAATTAAAATTTTCTTTGGTTCCTTATGCACTGATTACCAATTAGAATGCACTTTACTTTAATGTGAGTCTGAAGCATGATTGAGGTTTCAGGTCTCCCATGGTATAGAACTAAAGCTCTGCTAAATGCCATCCTCCACCGGGTTAAAAAAAAGTTACACAATGTACTTCTAAGGTCTTTGACCATGGAAAGATGCTATTCCCTCAACTACCTCTGAAATAGAACACAATCCTAGCCAACAAATGGAGTACTAATAGCTTCTGCCAGGAATCTGGCTATCACTCAGCTAAACAATTACCATCAAATATCTGGAAGCTGCTATCTTTGAAAATCAGTTCTACACATCCTCAAATTTTGATGCACTATGATAATTAGACTGAATAAAAAAAGCAAGGACTTCGTAGCAAGAAAGGCCCAAAATCCAATCCCAGCTCCACTACTGACTAAATGTTCCTGAGTGTTTCTGTACCTTGATTTCCTCTACTGTAAAATAGGGATAATTATGCTTATTTCTTAGAATTGAGAATAATGAGGTTAGTCAGGTAAAATACTTGGCAAGGACCTAGCAGACAGCAGGAGCCCCAAAATGGTATCTATTAATAACTATCACTTTTCCTTTCAAAGACATTTATTCCAAGGTCATATTCAGTAAAGATATCTTATACATATGTCATTACTGATCTGTAAGGAGGCCCTGAGTCAGACCTGGATGCAAATTTCTACTTTGGGTAATTCATTCTTTTGGGGGGAGAAGGGCATCACTTTCCTCATCAATGAGAAAAATAACTATGATCTTAAAATAATGAATGCATGTAAAACATAGCTAATGCACAGAATATGACAGCTGCTTAATAAATGTGGCTGTCATTATCATTATTTTTTAAGAAAGCAAATTAGTTCAAAGGCACATAATTTTTCCTGGTGGAATTTGTAATAGCAAGTCATACAGATTTTAGCAATCAGTGTATGAAGTCTGTACAAATAGATCTGGATGAAAAATGAAGTAGCATTTTTTTCTTCTTCTTTGTCATCAATGGCTTCTATTCATTGTGGTTTGGCCTGGGCTGCTTATTGTATCCGTATCATTTTATTTTACCTGTCAATAATGGTACAAATGAAGTATAACATTCCCCATTTTACAGATCTTGAAACTGAGGCTCAGAGAGGTTGTTACTATCTAAGAACATGGAACTATTAGCCTAGCTCTACTGAAGAACTGTTCACAAAAATTTGGCTAGGAGTAAGGTTTCTATATCTAGGTTTTTGCCTAATATAGCCAATGCCTAACTCACACTTATATCCAAATATGGCTGCATAATAACTTGTTTGGTTTTTTTAAAATCTACAGGGTCTCAATCTGGCTGCTCCATTTATGACTGGTTTCCTGGTGTTCCTGTTGCAGGTCATAATACCAATCCACAAAGCAACAGGAAATCAAAATGGGTTAGAAATAAACAACCTTTGACAGAAAACGCAGCACCCAAAAGCAGACCCAGTACACGTGAACCGGAAGACAATTCTATAAATAAACCACATTGCTGAAATGCTTAAGGCGTACATCTTAATTGCATAGAAATCAGGAAATTTGGAAGTGGAGGTTCAAAGAGGCAGTCCCTTGGATCTTTTACCTTATGGACATGTACATTAACATTCAGTTCAGCACAGATACAGAATTCAAGTTAAGGAAAGAAGCTTGTTATTAGAGTACAAATATTATTCAACAAAATTAACCCATATACAGAAGCAATATAACTAAAGTGTCTAAGCTTCAGACATAGTCTGGAACTGGAATCTCATTTTTCCCCTTATTAAATGTGTGACCTTAAGTAGGTCATTTAACTTCTCTGAGCTACAGATTCCACCACATTAAAACATTAGTGACATTTTAACATAATTATAATATTAATAAGAACAAATAACCATTTATATAGTAACCAGAAATCATTCCAAGTACTTAATAACCTCTTCTGAATCTCAAGATGTAAGTATCTCAAGCTATAATTAGTGATTATTACCATTTTACAGATGAGAAAAGAGGCTCAAATAAATTGACCCATATTTGAACACAGGCAATATAGCTGCAGTCTATGCTCTTAACAATTATACTATATTGTGTACATAAAACACTCAACACAATATCTGGCTTCCAGCAGGAGTACAATAAGGAGTAGCTAGCTATTACATTACTTCACCTTCTGCAATATTTTCAAACTATGTGAAAAATGCATTCTTTCCCAAAGTTGAGGGTTTAAAAACTCAAATTTCCCTGTTCTTTGGAGAAGGTACATTTTAATTTTGGAAAGAACTAGATAATGAACTCAACTCCTGACCCATTCACTGTCCCAGCAATCCCTTCTAATCTATTAACTTACAATATGCACATTATTTATAAATATGTGTGTACAAACTGACCCCTGTATATAAAATTCTTTCACATTATAATATTTGATTACAAATCACATTTTACAAATAAACTGATCTTTCATTTCCTCGGGGGCTCCTTCATGACTCAACATCTTCAAATATGCCACTGAATCTGCTTGGAATGATCTTCCCTCACCTATTTACCTCCCATTTTTCTTTCAGACTTCAGCTTAACCATCAGTTCCTCAAAGTATGTATTCCTGTTGAGTGTGGTGGTGTATGCCTGTAATCCCAGTGGCTTAGAAGGCTGAGGCTGGAAGACCACAAGTTCAAAGTCAATCTCAACAATTTAGCAAGGACCTAAGCAACTTAGGGAGATAATTTCAAAAAATGAAATAAAAATAAAAAGGGCTGGATATGACTTGGTGATAAAGCATCCCTGGGCTAAATTTCTAGTACCAAAAAACAAAAGGTCTTTCTTGGCCACCTCCTCCTACTCAATTAGGTCACAGGTCCTGTATCCCAGTTTCATAACACCCTCATGATAGCATTTAACTTTTCATGATACAAGTTAACATTTGTGTAATTACTTTATTATTGTCTAAAGGTCTCCAGATGGCCACATGCACTACAAAGCACTACTATGGCAGTCTTGATTGCCTCTGCATCCTCCTCCATGCCTAGCATAGTGCCTGAACACAGAAGATACCATCTACATGATGAAAACATGAATGAAAGCCCAGAAAGAGTAAATCTTTATCCAAGGTCAAAACGCTGGCACCAAAGTTGGAATTACTCTGATGGCAGGTCCTGGGTTCTACTTCCAAGAACTACTTCCATTATCCCTTGGTTTGCCAGGTTTTTGCTGAGAGTAGAGCATGCTCTTCTTTAAATTCAGTGCCATGTAAAGAAATATATTTGTAATATGACCCTACACAGAATCACTATGTCCTTGGTACAGCTGAAAAAGGAATTTAGAAATTTTAACAAGTGGAGAACTTGTGCCCAAGAACTATGAGATGTGGATTTCAATTTTCCTACCTCAGCACTCCCTGCCATCCATCTCCTTTAGATCCACAACAACCCCTGTATTCAAAAAAACATCTATGGCAGCTCTATCACTCCTTGGACCAAATTATTTCTCCTCCCTAGACTTTATTTCCCCAACTACAAAATGAAGGGGGGGTCAGGCTAGGTTTTCATCCTTTTCATCTATAAAGCTCTGCTAGATCCTGGAAAATATAATAGAGTGTGATTAAAGAAAAAGCCACCAAATTTAGACAACACCTAATAGAATCATTTCCAGCACTTCCTAAATATGTGACCTTAGATTGGTCAAACTCTCTGGGCTTCAAGCTCATCTGTAAAATGTGTCAGGGTTCTTGTTCTGGGCTGCAGAGAGTAGTGGTTAAAAGCTCAAGTTTAGAGTCAGCCCTAGGTTTGAATTTATACTTCATCACTTATCAACCGCGTGACCCTGGGAAAGTTATCTCTTCGAGCTTCCGTTTCTTCATCACGGAGAGTAAATAACACCTTCTCCCACGGGACTGTTCTGAAAATGAAATGTTCCTGTCAGGTTGTGTGCTACTTATTTGTTAAGTCCCTCGACGACCCTGAAAGTCCTAGCTGATGAGACAGCCCCGCCCCCACCCGGGAGCCTTGCTCAGAAGCCACAAGTCCCGCCCCCCGCCTTAAGGTCAGGCGGGACTCGAACCGGGCGGGAGCGGGAGTCTGGTGCCATAAGGGCCTAGGTCCTTGAAGAAGGGTCTCTGGCACCTGGACCCTGCGCGCGCCGCGAGACCCTTGGAGGCCACTCACCAGCTATTGCCCAGGTTACTAGGGCAAGCCTCGTGCGACAGCGACAGCGACGGCGGCGGCGCGGGCGTCGTGACGTCACGGGGCGGCGCGGCGGCGCAGGCGTATCGCGTCACGGGCGGCCTGGCTGCGGGCGGGTGTTGAAGCGGACGGAGCTACACGTCCGTCGGACCCGGAGTTAGGACCTGCTTTCGGGGCATGAGCTGAGGATACAACGCCGAGGCCACCAGGTGAGTCCGGCTGCGACGTGTTCCTGCACCTCACCGGCAGCCCTGCGAGGAGGTCTTAGAAGAGGCCGCCTGGCAGGACCGCTCGCAGGCCCCGCCCCGGATTGTCCTGCTGCTGCCCGGAAATAACAATCCGAGTAATAACCTCTCGCCTCTGGGAATCCGCAGCCAAGAATTGGGAAGCCGGGGTTCCAGGCTTGACGCCGTTGTTAGTCTCGGGGAGCAGGTCCCTTTGCTTCTTTGGAGTTGAGTTTCCCCGAATAACTATTATTGGCTTACCAGGGTTGTTGCTGCTCAGCTGGGAGGACAGGTGTCGACTGTGAACTCTGTTAACCTAAGGGTTTATCGCCATTGCAGATCTAAAGAATTTTGATAGTCCTGTGCCGTCTTGATCTTTTATGACACCTTATTGTACCTCGAAAAACCCTGTGCTGAGCTGTCGCCAGTATAGTCTTACTTAAGGCCCAGAACGACCTCAGAGATAGGAATGTTTGTACCCATTCTAGGAAGGAAGCAGAAACTGAGGCTTCAACTGGAGAAGTGCCTTGTTGCATTCATTCACTTACTAAATATTGAGCACCGGCCATGAGCCGCCAGGCAGTGTACTAAGTGCGTAATCAAGATTGGCAAGGCCTTGTTCTCTTTGAGCTTAGCTACTAGTGAGGGTAACAGAAAATAAGCCCTTAACCGACTCCTTGAATTCATATTATATGGGAATACAAAAAGTGACTGATAGAGAATCAAGGAGACTCTACTCTGTTGGGAGAGATGACGTTACTTATTACAGTAACTTGGTTCAAAAGTCAGGATTCAAATCCAGATCTCTCCAGCCCTGTATTTTGCATTCTTCCCATCAAAACATAGTACCTTTTTGCACTATTAAGTAGCTTTTGGTTTTGTTGGTGGTTTTAGATATGAAAAATTTAGAAGTTTCTATCATTCAAATTTCAACTCAAATGTCATCATCTTCAGAGAGGCCTTCCCTCTCCATTCAATCTAAGGTAATCCAAAACCATGTCAGATCACCCAGATTAATTGTGTTTGCAGCATTTATCACTAGTTATATCTAATTTCCTTCCAAATACAAGCATATTGAGGGCAGGAACTTGCTTCTTCCCTGCCCAATAATTAACTAGACATTACCTAGAAAATTGAAACTCAATTTTTTTTTTTTTTTTTGAAAGAATGAACTGTGAGAAAATAGAGGGGAAAAAAAGCAGGATGAAGACAAAATGTTTCTCCCATTTTCACTCCTGGGATTCTATATATGTCTGTATCACCTTCCTCTCAGGAAGTAAGGGCAAGAGCTGTGGCTTATTCGTTTCTTTGTTTTCAGTGCATAGCTCAGGCTTTAGCAGCTCATAATTGCTTGTCACATGTTACTGAACAGGTTAAAGATGTGAGTGGGAAAGCAAGAAAAATACCCTAGTGTGAAGGGAATAGATAAGCATGCTCAACAAACAGCTAAACCAGGGACTGCTGTGTGCTAGGTTTCGTGGGTGTACTTAGAAGAATAAAAGGTAATGGCAGTGTCAATATATGTCAGCTGTTGTTAAGACAGTTTCTACAGTGCTGAGCCCTTTGGAATATATAGGACATGTTTTTTTCTAGCAGGGAGTTCTGAAGTCTGGCACAGCCTGCCCTCTTCCTAACCCCTTTATCTCTTTTTTCTCGATCACATTATACATTTATTATCTCTTTTTACCTGTCATCTCATTTTTTGTTCTCTCAGCAACCTTAACTTATAAGCAAGGCAAAGCTTATTACTTAAAGATGAGGAAACAAGCTCAGAGAAGCAACTTCCAGTGGAAATGCCACAGTTCAAAGCTAGGTGTTCTGACACCAAGCTTTCTGCTCTTTCCATTGCTGTGTCCATCGAAATCCTTGTTCCCCTTAGCCATAACATGAGGTACTAAGACTGGTGATAATTTACCAGTCTTGAATGCTTCCTAGGTGCCATGCACTGTTCTGAATGCTTTAGGCCTGTAACTTACTGAATCTGCACTACTCAGTGAGGTATTATTCCCATTTTACAGATAAGAAAACCAAGGCAAAAGTGGTTAAGTAACTTACCCAGTTACTCAACTAGCAAATGGTGGAACTGGAATAACTAGGGGTAAATTAGTCTCTTCAACCCACTTTCTCTCCGGATATTAAACAGGATAATAACTGATATTGATAACTTACTATTGGTAGATATAGTGCTTAGTGGCTTTTTTCATGTACTATCTTTAATCTTCACAATAATTCTATAATATAAGAATTATCATCTCTATTAGTATATTTGAGAAATTTGAATCATAGAAAGTTCAGATAATTCACCAAGTCACACAAGCTGCTTTCAGACCAGTCCTAACTCCAAAATCTGCAGATTTTCTATATTGCCTCTTCCTTTGGCAATATTGCTTCTTCCATGAGGAAACGGGATATAACACTGCTCTTCTCTGACCATCCTCTTCAGTGGTGTTAATGTTCTTCCAAAGCTTATTTCAGTGACAGTCATTAAACTCAAGTGTCATGTAGTAATAGAATCTTTGGCCTCCTGCCCTGTCAGCCTCTAGCTGCAGAGGAGGAAAGCTTGAATTTCTCCACACAGCCACTCCTCTTTCACCTGAAATGGCAGCTTCTGTGCTCTAGCTACTGGAGGAGCTGTCTCAAGGGAACTGGTTCTGGGGCCATTGTTGTGGAATAACTGAGGCCTCAGAAAGTCTGCCTGGAGGACATGCCCTCCTTGAGTAAATGTTTGCTGGGTTGAATTTGAAGACTCATGTTCATACAGGGTTGCTCCTCTCCTGCCTGAATGTTCACATTGCCTTTAGTATTTCATAGAGATTGATGGAAGCAGAAACCAAAACTCTTCCCTTGGAGAACGCATCCATCCTTTCAGAGGGCTCTCTACAGGAAGGGCACAGATTATGGATTGGCAACCTGGACCCCAAAATCACAGAGTAAGTCTAAGTCACCTTAATTCATTACCTATAAAGTTGGGATGTTTGTGGTGGTGCTGCTCAGAAGAATTTCAAAAGGGTGTACTATGTATTTTTTACCTTGTTATTTATGTTTTGTCTTTGAATGGAAAATGATGTCATTTGCCTGTTATTTTGTCATTTTTCTTGTATTTGCACTCTGCTACTGTGAGAACACAGACTTGGGAATCCTTTAAAACATATACCTCTTTTTTCCTACTTGCCAAAGATGTTCTCCAATTTCCAACTATTGAATCCTTGTACCCAGTGGCTACAGGGAATTGTTTTTGAAAATCAGCCTGGGACATATTTTGTCTCCTAGTGTGATAGAATAAGCAGAGTCTCAGTACCTTTGCAGATAAGCATAGGGGTGCCACTTGACTCCAATTCCTGTAAGCAACTACAGAATCACAGAAGGCGAAAGTGGGAAGAGATCTCAGAGATCATCCCAGTTCCTTTGGTTTTTTTTATTGTTATTTATCAAATGATTTGAGTGTCAATTGTGTGCCATGCTAAATGGTTTTCAGGCTTTTTAAATCTGAGGGATGCTGTTATAAAGTGAAAATAATCAGAAACTATATATAAAATAAAAGCTTATAGCTACTCTGATGTCAAAAAGGATATATATCCAAAGCCTTTTGTTAGCTGCCATTCTTTCTGTGGCAATCCTGAAGAAACTCTGTGGAACTTCCAGGGCTCCATGGAGCGCACTTGAAAACCTCTGATACAATCCAGCTCTCTTAAACTACAATAGAGAAAAGTGGGGCCTAAAAGTCACAAGGTCACAGATAATTGAGAGGTTTTTTCCTCTTTTCCCAGTTGTTTTTTGCAGGGGGAAGGTGAGGGTTGGTAGCAGAGTAGTAATGGGTGAAGGAACTGAGCTGAGCCAATGAATCAAGCAGGTGTGGAGTATTTCATCAGCCCTAGAAAGTTACTCTCTTTGGAATAGTGTCAAAGGGAAGAAGAGAGGAGAGAGCTGCTTGGCATGAGAGGAGGTGTATTTAAGGATCAGGATGAGGAGAGAAGAAAAGGTATATAAATTTATAGGTCTGGGTCATGATAGAAAGTTTAGCTCCTTAAATCTGATGGAGCTCAGATCAGCTAACTGTAGATAAGTGTGGGTCCCTCTAGAAATTATGATGGTATATAAGATATGTTGCTCCTATATTATACTACCTTGGTCACAGGGACCCCAGAATGTAGCATATATTTCAGTTCTCTTTAATGGTCCATGGCTTTGAGGATGAATGTGAATCTGCTCAATCTCTCAATGTCTATTCATCAGAGAAACTTTTTCCATCACCTAAAACCCTAGCTCAGGGGATGCTGCTTCCAAGAGTGGTTTCCATTCCCACCTCTGCTTGTCTGAATGGAAATCTCAAGCCTGGAAACAGTGTTGGTTGTGTTGGCTGCAATTCCATTAAATGCTAATTGTGTCCTGCTTGTCAGGAAGGTGCAATGGGCATTGGCCATCTCCATTTATGTCATAAGTTGGAGTATTATGAAATTTTTTCAGTTAGAGCTTTAACAAGAACATTAAATCAAAACTTTCCTACTGACACCTCTGTCCTTTTTACATGAGGCCAAAGGTCGACATCAAGTACCAAACTGCAGATTACGGCCTTTCCAGCCAGAAGTGTGTGTTCTGTCTAGGGTGTCCCCACTTCTGTATATATTTTTGCTAGTCTTCTATGGATTCCTTACCTAAAAACATTTCATCTATTAAACTGATTTATTAAATAGTAATTGATTTATTTTTAAATAAAGACATAACTACTTTATGGTTAACATGAAAGTCTAGCATTTCCTCATTTAATTTACTTAATTCTAAGCAAAAAAAAAAACATAACATTTTAGTAAAGTCTTAACTTATGGAAATATATGATTTCCTTCCAAGGTTGTTGAAATATATAAACTTTTGGATCCCTCTCCTCTCAGGGTAAATAACAGTGAGTCTAGATGTATAATTAACAGTCATTCCCTATATGTGTGTGTGTGTGTGTGGAACACATCTTCTAATTCTAATATTGTATAGTGACCTTATTTAAGCTCACAACAAATTTGGGAGATAAGTGGAACAGATATTATTTTCCTTATTTTATAGGAAAAAAAAGAGTTAAATGAGTTGGCTTAATTTACTGAAGTAGTTAATCATAGAACTAATTTACCACTGTCTAATTTAGTGCACTTTGTACAAATACTCTAATAGTCTGAGTAATTGAACAGTCATGACCTAAGGTATCCTGTTTTAAATTTAAACATGTAAGGATTTCTTTTAAATTGTGGGACCCAGTTGAACTATAAGGGTTAAACGTATCTTTAAATATCACTACCAGTGCCTTCAATGGAAAAAAAACAAAAAAGCTGATATACTTAGACATCTATTTTTCCGAATTGTAGTTTTTCTCTAAAAGGGTTAATACTGGCTTTTTTCAGTATTGAATGTGCTATGTAGAAAGCCAAAGTAATAACTACTACATTATACATAAGAAGGAGAAGTGTGAGAACAAAGCTAGTATAATTTAATAGAAAAAGCATCCTAAGTGAAGGTAAAATAATAAATAAAAATATAAGAGTAGGAATAAGAAAGATCTTTATGTGTGAGCAGAATATTTTGGCTGAAGGAGAGGTTAAAAAGTAAATGGTAATTAAGCTGGTGTGGTGGCACATGCCTGTAATCCCAGAGGCTTTCAAGGGTGAGACAGGAGGATCTCCAGTTCAAAGCTAGCCCCAGCAAGGGTGAGGCACTAAACAACTCAGTGAGACCCTATCTCTAAATAAAATACAAAATAGGGCTGGGGATGTGCCTCAGTGGTTGAGTGCCCCGAGTTCAATCCCTGCTACCAAAAAAAAAAAAGTAAATGGTAATGAATAGAGTAGTCAGATGGATAGATAGAATACCATCAGGTTAAGACAGAGTCTAAAATTTAAGAAGACGCTTTTGAATTCCATGTAGAAGAGATTTATTGTGGGGGATTTTGTTTGTTTGTTTTGTAGGTTGTTGGCAGGAGACTGACTTCATGAAAGTGATGTTTTAATTGAGAAATTAGACCTCAAGCATATAGGATGAATTGGAAGACCAGAAACTGAAGCTCAAGATTACTTAGGATAGGCTACCATAAACCAGGCCAGCCATCACTGTCAACCTAGGTAGAGACAGTGAACTTATAGACAGTAGGTGAGTCTGAGATAGGAAGAACATGATTAAAGAAGAGAGTTGAAGAAGATTTTGAGAGGTTTTTTGTTTTCATTTTCATTTTACGTGGCTGAGGACACCTGAGGGGTTTTGCCTGAGGAGTATAAATAATTCATGTCCCCGCAGGGACCATAGAGTAGCTAAAAAGAGCCATCCCAGTTTGTAGTGGGGAGGTCAATTTGGAGTATATTAAGTAAACTTAAAATCAGTGGAGAGCCAGCTAAGTGGAAGTGTCCTCCTGATGCAAACTTTCAGGGATTCACTAGATAAACTAGAATGCAAGGGAAACTAAATGCAGGAGCATGTGAGAGCATTGTTTTTACCCCCGAGAAACCTGTTTCTTTCTCAACCCATTTCTTATTTTTCCTTCTGTCTCCAAGTTTCTTTTTATGTCTTGGTTTGCATGAAACAGCCTTTACTATTAGATTACTTAAATCTGAACTGCAATAAAACTATTTAACAAGGTACATAGCATAGAATATAAAGACCTCAGTAACTTCTATGTGCTTTTAAAGAAATTCTTCTCTAAGATAAATCATGCACCAAAAAAAAAAACCAACTTTTTTTTTTTTTTTTTAACCATGCACAGTGGTACATTTATGTAATCCTAGCTATCTCAGAGGCTGAGACAGGAAGATTGCAAGAGACCAAGGCTAGCCTGGGCAACACAGTGAGACCCCATCTCAGAAAACAAAAATCTTATTTTGGGGGGGTTGGGGGTTGAACCCAGAACCTTGGGTCTGCTAGGCAAGCACTCCACCAATGAACTCCCCAGCTCTTAGAGATAATTGTAAATGTCATTCCATTGACTTCCTACTGCATACAACATCAAATTTAAATTCCCTAAGCATACAACATCCTTCATACCCTATCCCCTGCCTGCTGTTAGACTCTCCTCCCTTGGATCGGACTCTTTTTTATCTTTGTATCTTTATATGTGGTATCTACTCAAACTGACACACCTCACTCAGATGCCACACCTTTCACAAATCTTTCCTGAATTACCACCTTCCCTACACAATTGAACTTTCTTCATCTGTGCCTGTAAGCATCACACCATTTTACAGTTGTTTGATTACATATCACTACCAGAATGTAAGGGCCTTAAAAACAGTTTATTCATCTGGATAGTCCAAGTGCTAAATTGGTTCTTGACACATAGTAGGTGTCTGTTTTAATATTTGTATAGATTACTTCTGTGCAACCGGGCAGGAACACTTTTTAAAAACTCATTACGGGAAACACTGATTTAAGCTGCAGAGATGTGATGGAACTGGGGTGCTAATTCTCACTCCAGAGGGCAGTGGGGCACACATTTCATAAGTGCAGCAAGCCTCTGTTGAGTAGCAGCTCTCCTGTGCTCCTGCAGCAGATAAAAGTGCTTGCAGATGTGAGAGCAAGATCTTCAGGCTTTTTTCACTATCAGAGCTTGCAGTCCCCATCTCCAGGAAGGAAAATAGTAAACATTTCATTCCTTTTGTTTCAGTGTTCCGATAATTTCAAGAAATTATCAAACAAGAAAAGAAATCCTGTAGAAGTTGAAAGACACAGACCTAAGCAGATGTTCTTGGAATCTTAAGGTCGCACTTCTCAGGCAGAATGTGTTTGTTAGCTTTACAATGAATAATCTGTTGGCTTTTTTTTTTTTTCCTGAGTAAATTAAAATTCATTTCCTAGGAAATGCCAATCACATTACCTTCCTGCTATTAAGCAGAATGAAACTAATGAAAAGATGGCCAGCCCCACAGTAGCCTTAGATTTTTTTTTTTTTAAAATGGGTTTCACCCACCATTCCACAGCACTGTATAAAGGTTGAATGGGTATAGTAAGTGGAAGGTGCAGCTGCAAATGAAAGACCCTGGGGAGACTCTAACCTGTCTTGTCTATTGTCTGAGAGACTCAGCCCTTGCTGTAAGCCTTTTAGATAATCAAATCACAAAAGAAATTTGCACTCAAGGTGTCTCCCTTTCTCCTGTAGAGTCACCTCCTATATTCTCACTGGTTGTTGAGGTCTTCTGATGGGTTTGGGAATTAAGAAAGTAGGGGGTCCTGGTTTTTTTCCCTTCAAAACAAGTTCCCAAGACTGGTTTACTATCCACAACATGCCTTGGGATCCTTCCATCCTGCCCCAGTACTAGTCTGTATTATTTCTTCTTTGCTCCACAGTGTCAGATACTTGATCCAGGATAATGGGCTTACTTGTTGATGTACATTAGTATCAAATTTAGTATAGCTTATGATCTATTTGATATCTTTCTGCCTCCCAAAGGAGATTCTTGCTCAAGAATAAAATTCTGATGAGCTTCTCCTAGAAAACAATGTAAATATAAATGTGGCTATAATGACATCTTGACTGACTCCCTCTGGGGTAGAATTCCCAGTAATAACAGATTTAGCATGTGGGCTGATACCTTTTTAGTATCACAGGGACATTATTGTTTAGAGAAAGCCTTGACTCCATTTCAATAGCACGGAGGATGCCAGGAGGAAGGCCAAAGGAAAAGGAAACGGGAGAGCTGTTGGTTTGTCTCACTCTTACATCAGATGACAGGAAGTCGGGATTGAGATTGGCCACAGCAACCTGTTAAGGCCACATCTGTTTGAATAACTTAAAAGCCCTATTGAAACCAAGTACCTTTTAGAGTAAGGAATCCAAGAAAAGGATGAAGAGCAGAGTGGCAAGCAATAGCTTGGAGTGAACATCCTGCCGGGAATAAATTTCTTCCTTGACAATCTACTTTCTTTACTGATCATACCCCACAGTATAAACTGCATTAAGGTGACCGAAGTTGGTTAATTACCTATGTATAACTGGATGATTCACAGGGTCTAGTCTGATTCCCCTGCCCTGTGTGAGACTAGTCCTGGTCCCATAGTTCCATATAGTTCTGATGTCCAGGACATCAGGGATTGAAACTCTCAAGCACTGAATGGAAGTGCCACTAGCTGTAGTTTAGTTTTTGGCATTTCTTACAAGTACAATTTGGGTCTAATGATTAACTATAAAATCTAGGGAAGTCTTCCAGCCCTGTTTTAGTTTGCTTGCTTGTATGAATGTATATGTGTTTGTTACTTTGTTTATCTTTGAGATAGGATAGGCTTTGGCTTTTGGAGTGTGGACATATATTTCTGATAGAGTAACAGTTATTCACAAATACAGTTTCATTGCCAAGAAATTAAAAATAAATAAATTGACACTATTTTTGAGCTTTTCTCCAAAAGAAAAACAAATGATGCTTGTGGGCCAGACAGCTGTTTGTTACATGTGGGTTTTTTGTTTGGTGTTTTTATGTTGGACAGACACTTGGGTATGAGAGTTCCTAGTTCCCATTCCAAAGAGAGTCAAACAACTCTGATTGCCAAGTAAACAGCAGTTTGGAGGAAGACAGGGGCAAGGGCAAGAGATTTATCCTTAAGACACATTATTTCCTACTCTTATCTCTCACTTGAGGCTGAGAGGCCAGCAGAATTCCCAGTGATCTCATAGCCTCTTCTTTTTCCACAGATACCACCTCCTCAAACTCCTCCAGAAGTTTGGTAAGGTGAAGCAGTTCGACTTCCTCTTCCACAAGTCAGGTGCTTTGGAGGGACAGCCTCGAGGGTACTGTTTTGTTAACTTTGAAACTAAACAGGTAATTTTGCTTTCCTCCCCCTTTCCTGGTAATTGCCACACTCCATAATCATTTGTGCATCTCTTGTGTACTAGACCAGCAGTTTCTTGTTGCCTGTGTGCCTTATGGCAAATACTAAAAAAGATGCACAGTTAAGGAATGGCTTGCAAGATCTCCTCTCCCCAGGCTCAAGGTATAAGACGACCAACCTACTTTATTTAGCAAAGGATTTGGGATACCCATATGGAGTGTGTGGGTATTCCCCCTTCCTATCCTGTTTTGTTTCTTTATTGGCTGGCCAACAAAACCTCCTTTTCTTTCAGAATTTTTACCCTGTGGTACAGAAACTTTGTAGTACACCACCCACAAACTTCATTTTATTTTGATTTCTTAAAAATGTACCCTTCTCAGGGCTGGAATTGTGGCTCAGTGGTAGAGTGCTTGCCTCACACATGTGAGGCACTGGGTTCAATTCTCAGGATCACATAAAAAGTAAATAAATCTAATAAAGGTATTGTGTCCATCTATATATATCTTCTTATATTTAAATTTAGTTTTTGCAGTAGAAATACAATGATAAGAGATAGAACTGGAATGTTATTAAATGTAAAGATGTGGGGCTGGGGTTGTAGCTCAGCAGTAGTGTGCTCGCCTAGCACGTGTGAGGCCCTGGGTTCGATCCTCAGCACCATGTAAAAATAAACAAAATAAATGTGTGTGTGTATATATGTATATGTATATATATATATATATATATATATAGATGCTACCTGGTATTCTCTATAACTTTGTTATATGTTAGCAACATTGCCTAGTTACTGTTTTATTAAGAATAACTTACAGACAGGTGTAATGGCACGTGCCTGTAATCCCACTAGCTGGAGAGGCTGAGGCAGGAGCATCATAGTTCAAAGCCAGCCTCGGCAACTTAGCAAGACCCTATCTCTAAAATAAAATATAAAAAAGGCTAAGGATGTGGCTCAGTAGTTAAGTGCCCCTGGATTCAATCCCGGTACCAAAAAAACAAAGTAATACATGCTTATTTTGGATGAATATAAGAAACCAAAAAATTTTTCAAGCCCTAAGCCCAATACACAGAAATCATTTAATATTTAGTGATGTATCTTTCCAGTTTTATTCTTTCTTCACATTCACACACGTACACATATATACAGATAAACAAATAAGATCATATTATTATGTTAGCCCCTCAAAATATATTAAAACTTTTTGTCATCATGTGACTTACAGTGCAAATAAAAGTTAATGACTTTTTTTAATATTTATTTTTTAGTTGTAGTTGGACACAATATCTGTATTTTATTCATATATTTTTATGTGGTGCTAAGGATCGAACCCAGAGTCTCGCATGTGCAAGGTGAGCACTCTACTGCTGAGCCACAACCTCAGCCCAGCTAATGACATTTTCATGACTGTATATTTCATTATATAACATATGACTGATCCCAAATTCTTAAAATTTTTAAAAACAAATAATCTGAAACATTATTTCAAAGTTCAAGTATTCGATGTCTTAAGCTGCTTAAGTTATCTCCAATGTTTGACTAGTGTAACATCACAATAATGAATATCTTCTCTAACTATATGTGTATATGTAATTATATATTATATGTATGTAATTATATGTATAAATATGTTTTTCACATTTCTGGAAATGGATTGGCACCTCAAAGGTCATGCATATAGGGTTTTTTTATTGTTTTATACAGTTATCAAAATGCCTTCTAGAAATGTTGTATCAATATGTTCTGAGACTGTTTGAGGGTGTTATTTGTTCCTGTCGGTCCTGGGTATTTTTTATTTTCTCTAATTTTGTAAATAGTAATAAGTGATATGTTATTCTAATTATTCAAGTTTTTTGAGAGAAGTGAAAGAATACCCATATAGTTAGTATTCTTAAATACTTTATTTTTCCTTACTGATAATAGTGTGATGAGGATTCTTACAGACTCCTAAAATCAGAAGTCATGTTGGGAACAAATGCTGGTTTAAAAACATTGGATTAAAAGTCACAAAACATACCTGTATTTTCAACTCTTTTATTTACTGACTTTGAGCATATGTCTCAACTTCTTTTGGCTTCAATTTTTGTTGAAAAATGTACATTATAATGGGATGTTATGTTACAGAAAGAATAAATGAAAACACAGTTGACATTCAGTGTCATCGAATACTTGAACTTTGAAATAATGTTTTAGATTATTTGTTTTTAAAAACACTTATCCCTTGCTGACATCTTACTATTGCTGATACCTCAGAACTAATAGAATACCATATAAGTTCTAATTTATCAAATGAAATCTAAAAAGGATAATGTGTCTCTTATTTAGCAGTCTGACTTATTATTTTGTAGAGAAACCAGGATGGTCAATTAATATCCAATGCCTGACACACAATGGGTATCAAAAAGAATATTTGTTGAATGCCATGCTGATGAGCTTTGGAGGGACAGACCATAAGACAAATAAGCACTGGTTTTACTGTTAAACCATACTTATTTGTCTTATGCTCAGTTTTAGACTCTCCCTGCCCTCTAGGACTTTCTATTCATCTTCTGTTCCTTAAGGACTTCTTTGCCTCCACTAAATTTGGGTTACATTTGGCTCAGTGCCTCATGGACAGAAATAGGGCAAAACAGATGTGTCAGGATGAGAAAGTATAGCCAGGTTTCCTGGGAGTGACCTAGAGTGACTGTTATCCAGCTTCAGGAATTCCTCTCAACCTTGTTGCTCCAATATCTGATGGGGAAAGGGTCAGGGAACTTGTGGCTCTTAAAACCAGGTGCATAGATTGACTCACACAGATACCTTGTTCAATCTCTTTGACTCAATCCTGCTTTTTCCGGCCTAGTTTCCTTCACTCCCATATCCTTTGAAGCCATTGCTGTTTTTCACTTTGGATCCAGGGAGTAAGTCCTGGTCTAGGATATAGTTCTATTGTCCATGTAGGGATTAAAATTTCTGGAGGTGTATAGAAAGGTATCACTGAATAAGAACCATGCTGTTTGCTAACATTTGTTAATTGCTTACCATATGTTCCACACTTTCCATGCACTCTGAATCCTTACAGCCACCACTGAGGAGCATGTAATAGTATACCATATTTTATAGGTGACAAAGCTAGAGACATTAAGTGACCTGCCAGACATTATACTGCCAACAAGTAACAGCCAGAATTTGAATTTTGTCTTACTTTTAAAGACTTATACCTTTTTTTTAACTCTGCCTTTTAAAATTATAAACCCTTTGCCAAGCATTTACCAAAAGTAATTTGGTTAGAAACTCAGCCATCAAAGCTAATAAGGCCCTGTAAGAATACAAAGTGATAAATAAGCTTTTGAATTTATGACCAACTTTCATCTCTTTTCTGGACAGGAAGCAGAACAAGCCATCCAGTGTCTCAATGGCAAGCTGGCACTGTCTAAGAAGCTGGTGGTACGATGGGCACATGCTCAAGTAAAGGTATGGCTAAGTGGCTAGAAAAACAGTTTCTTGCCTCATCCTCAGGAGTCTCTGAAAGACAGTTGCCCATGTCTCCATTTGCATCCCAGCCTCTTCACATCTGGAACAGCCATACTTTGGTCTCCTACTTGTATTTACCATGTGTGTTGCCAGATTTTTCTTTTGAGAAGCATCTCGTAGGGATTAAGTTCCTTCGTTGTTTCTCTCCACATGCCCACAGATCCTGTTTTTGATTGATTTTTCCATGTGGCTGATGTGTATACTCAGGCCTCTATCATTTTTTCAGTGGGGGTTGTTCTTCAGAGGGAAAAAATGTATTTATTTTTAAAATTAGTTGCTTTAGGCATTATTAGACTCTTCCCAGCTTCTTGTCTCTATGGAGAGTTTGAATTTGTTTATTCTTAAAGCTTGAGAAATGGGTAGTTTCTCTTGAGTGCTTATAGCACTGGCATCTCCTTACTCCAGAGATCTTGAGAATTATTAGAGTGCGAGTTTGTGGGACTTTGCAGTGCCTATATTGTCTCCAAACCTGAGAAGTGGCAAACTGCCCTGTTCATCCTGCAGTTGGTCTCTTGGGAGAAGGCACTAGGAAAGCTGTAGCCATTAAAATAAAAGAAAAAGAAGATGAATGGTATTCTGTTCCAGCTGGCACAGAGCTGGTGAAGTGTGTGGACTGGAGCAGTCCCAAGAATCAGTTTTCCTTCTGCAGTGTGTCTTGACAGACCTGCCTGCAAAAAAAAATTTCTGACAGTCAGAGTTGGGGCTTTGGCTGTTAGCTATATGAGCATAGTTTTCAATCCTACCCAACAAGCTTCCCCGTTAAGAATCATAGAAACTAAACAGACTTTCAAGCACTAAGTCCAAACTGAAAAACAAAAGCTTAGACACTGGATCCTTATGAGCATTTCAGGTAATCACAGAGCCTTCTGAATTTCTAGGACACTTTGCCTTAAAAATAGAAACAAGAAGAATTACCAAATGCTTTTTTATTCAAAAGAAAATCAAGTCTCTTTTGCCAAACTGGCTGTCGTTTTCTTGCTCTGCATCTCGTTGAAAAGGCATGCAAGAGAAATCATCCTTCATTCCTGTCTTTCATTTGAAAATCTGTACCTCGTGGTTCTCTTCCTGTAAATCTTTGACCAGAGGCTCCTGATTGCTCTCTTAATATTTTATTTACTTCTTACAAGAAATATGTAATTATCTGGCATCAAATTAAACTCCTTTACTATACAATGTTTTCTGTATCAGCAACTGAAAGCTGTTAATATTTTTTTCTTCCACTCAGTCCTGTTGAGTTAAATATTATGCTTGGTACTTTGCAAAAGCTAGCAGGATTTTAAAGTGCTTTGGATAAAGCAAATATTGTAAGAGGCGATATGTGACAGTTAAAATAAAAATGTAAGAGGGCAACCCTGCTGCTTATTTGCACCATCTGTGAATTCAAACATTGAAATTCTTTTCCTACCAAATAAGGAGGACTAATGGCTAGATGGAAGCTTCTCAACTGTTTTCTAAACTTGCAGCTTTCAGACCAACTTGTATACAGTTTTGCATTAATGCTAGGTAAAGCAGTCCTAAAATTATCTGGAAAATGTTGATGAAAAACTGGGTGGGATTAGCATTTTTGAACCCATGCACTGAAATAAAGGACTGGTTTCTGCTCACATAAAGTAATACCTCTTTTCTTTCAGAGATACGATCATAACAAAAATGACAAGATTCTTCCAATCAGTCTTGAACCTTCCTCAAGCACTGAGCCTACTCAGTCTAATCTAAGGTAAGACAGTGTACCATAGAAGGACACAGTTGTTCAAGAGCCTGAGCTCTCTTTGTTGCACACCTTCACTTACACAGAACATAGTGGATCTTTAGACTCTTAATTTAGAATAGAATCTGCTAACTTGATGTGTTGAGAAATGGGTTCAGTTAACCTCTAGAATGTATAAATTTTCCTCTCCTTACATCTCCCCCAAGATCATGTACACCCCATAATCCTGTACTCCCCATTTATAGAATGCACTCACTTTAAAAGGGCAGGTTTAGTTACTACACATCAGCTCGATACAGTGGCACACACTTTTAATCCCAGCAGTTTTGGTAGCTGAGGCAAGAGCCAGCCTTAGCAATTTAGCAAAACCCTAAGCAACTTAGGAAGCCCTTGTCTCAAAATAAAAAGAGGCCAGGAATGTGGCTCAGTAGTTAAGTGCCCCTGGGTTCAATCCCCAGTACCAAAAAAAAAAAAAAAAATCGCTACACACCAAGCCTTGTGCTTAACACTGGAGATGCAAAGATATATCAGACACAGCTCTCACCTTAAAAACAAGCATTTTAGTAAAACCTTGGGTCCCTTTGGCATTTGCCATTATACACTGATTTCCTCACTATCCCTGAGTTCATTTATATAAATTTTCGTTTTCAGATATTTAATTCTATGTACCATTCATCAACTATAATAGTTTTGGTTCTAGTTTCTATGAATTGTCAGTTATTTCTTTGGAGCTAATTCAAAACAGGGACACTAAGGATTGGGTAGAGAAAGGGGAAGGTAAATGGGTAGTAGAACAGAAGTAGAAGTTGGGCTTTTTGTTTTGTTTTCTTTCTCCCCCTCTTTTTTTTTTTTTCCACATTGTAGCCTACGAGAAATTTTTAGTAATAATAACAATGCCCAGTATTTAACAACCTTACTATGAAGCAAGCACTGTGCTGAACACTTTATATGCAGTATGTCATTTAAGTATAATAAAAATCACTTTATATATGAAAAAATTGAAGTTTAGAGAAGTGAAATATCTTGGCCATTATGTAAGTAGCAAATAGCAGAGTTAGAATTCAAAGCAAGGTCTAACAGACTTGAGAATTTAATCTTTATATTGGATGTGATGGCACATGCTTGTAATTCCAGCGAGTTGGGAGGCTGAAGTAGGAGGATCAGAATTTCAAGACGAGCCTCAGCAATTTAGTCAGACCCTGTCTCAAAATTAAATAAAAAGGGCTAGGGATGTAGCTCAGTGGTAAAGCGCTCCTGAATTTAATCCCCAGTCCAAAAAAAAAAAAAAATATATATATATATATATAATCAGTCCTTTAGTCCTGAAGTAATAACTTCAGGGTCGCTCCAGACAGTAAATGTAGGAATATAGATCTAAAGATTTTTCCAGGGCAGGGGAAGAAGATATGTGAAGGAACATAAGTGATACATAAGGATCAGAAGTCAATAGTCATAAAGTTAGGAAAGTGATGTCTATTTGGATGAAAGACCAAACAGGAGGGGAAAATGCCTTTCTCATATATCATCTCCACCAAACCAGACTGAAGGGGGATTGATCCTGGAATATTTTCAGGAATGATAAACTGGTAAATTGAAATTAATTTTATACTTATTTATATAAGTTTAATGTCATGATTTTTCTTTATTTTATATTGCCTTTATTGTTCTGTGCTTCTGGAAATTTTAAAAAATAAAAGTTTTACAAAACATTTATGGATTTTTCTAGATTCACTGGGAGTTTATATCCACTATACTCTTCTCCCCATAAGATCTGAACCTCCTCAATCACAGGTCAATCTCCATGGAGGTTATCATAAATCTTACTGCATGAGTGACTAGACTCATTTTTTAATATCTCCATATTACAATGATCATGTGTTTAGCTTCTTATGACCAGTATTCGCTACTTATTTACCAGATAGCCTAGTGTTTTCCATCTGTGTTTTAATCCAAAGAATCTCAACTTACATTTTTCTACTAACATCTAACCCTAATTAGAGAAGGTTGTTTTTTTAAACAGAATGAAGGGCTGTCACTTTAATAGATGTGGAGCCAAAATGCATCCTGGTAATACCTCAATACTCTTTTTATTGTAACTTGAGGGTTTCTTTTAAATTTTCTAATTGACACATAAAATTGCACATTTATAAGGTGCTATGTGATGTTCAACACGTGTATATTGTGTAATATTCAAGTCAGGATAAACATCTGTTTAAACATTTAATTGTTTCTTTATGAGAACTTAGTTTTAAATTTCTTGCCTCTGAAAATTTATGGATATGTATAGCAGATGTATACCTATTGAGGATCCCTAGAAGACCATATATACACTGCTTCCAAATTTCTCTCACTACAATAGACCATTGCCGGCATCAAGAATGGAAGATAAAGGAATCCATGGGCCAAAAAATTCCCATTGTCTGAGTGCTTTATTGTGTGGAGTTAGCAGTGACCTCAGTCAGAAACAGATTCCTCACAACTTCACAGCCTCTCCTTTCTATGTAATACAAAGTTGCTGGATTCCCACTTTGATGGAGAGGAAAGAGCGAAGACATTGGTGATGAACTGGGGTTGAATTGTAGCTGTGCAGTTTGTAAACTGTGTGAAACTTGAACATATTTCTGCTCGTGCAATTGCTTATTCACCCATAAAATATGAATGGCTAAACCTTATAGGCTTAATATACGGATTAGAAACAACATAAATAAAATGCTGGATACTATGCCTGGTTCATTGTAAATAAAACATATCTGTTATCTGTTATAAGTCTCCCTTTTAATAAAGGGAGACTTCATAGGATCTCCAGAATATTTTTTTCCATTATTATTCAGTGATTCAAAAGGTGATGCAGTGTGATGGTTAATAGCATAGGCTATGAAATCACTTTGTTTTCAAATCTCAGTTCAATCATTTACTATTTAACATTGGTCAAATTAACCTCCCTCTGTCTCACTTTCTTCTGCAAAATAAAGACTATAAACTGATGCCATGTTTTAATCCTCCTTGAGCACCTACTCTGCTAAGCACTAAGGTGCAGAATAGCATCTGTGAAGAATTAAAGAATTAAATATAACAACATGTGAAGTTAAGAATGTCTAGGTCTGTATTAAAAATTTAATCATGCTTCAGAGTTGATTTTTTCCTTAAAATGACAGGGTTTTGTTTTTTTGGGGGGTTTTTTTTTTTTAACCTCTTTCTCTCTTTTATATGAAATGTTTAAGTGTTTGTAATTAAATATCTCTTTGCTTCTAAAGAGGCACAAGGAGATGAAATATACAAGTACGTTCTGAAAGAACATAGGCCCATTCTGATCCTTTGCTGTTTTTCAGTGTCACTGCAAAGATTAAAGCCATTGAAGCAAAGCTGAAAATGATGGCAGAAAATCCTGATGCGGAGTATCCAGCAGCACCTGTTTATTCCTACTTTAAGCCACCAGATAAAAAAAGGACTACTCCTTATTCTAGAACAGCTTGGAAATCTCGAAGATGATGGTTGTGAATTACTGTGGCAGCAAAAGCAAATTGGTCTCCACACCTGACTCCTCTGCCTTGGTACTTTGTAGATGTGGATGGTACTATCCAACAGAGCACAATCACATGTTAGAGTTTGGTAACATAACATTTTGGATGTTCTTATGGATGTGTCTTCCCTGAACTATGTGTAGAATTGAGCATCATCCAGAATAAATAGGATTGTGTCCAAAATTTTGATTTGAACACTGGGATGCTCTAGTTGGCTGGTTTGTTTGGATTTGTAACTACAGAAACATTATATAGTATGCCAGAGAGAAAGTCAAACATACAAAATGTTATTATTTAATCAGGAAACTAAATTTATTAACCTCTGTCAAAAGAACATTTTTCTGTGCACATGTCTTTACAACATAAAGAAAAAGTTAAGAGACAGGGAGGAAAGTAAGACATTTTAAATCATGTTTAGAACTGCTGTTCAAGAATTTATAACAGAAATTCCTCCAACTAAACTGAAAAAGAGAGTTCTTGGCAAAAGGGAGTTTGTCCTTTGAGCAAACATTGTAGTAATCTGCTTAAGAATTATGCTTATTGTTTCAAAATCCCAATTAGGAAAATGTGGTGTAGATCTTAAAATTGTTTGCATCAATGGACTATAGAGTCAAATTTAGCATTTTATACCACAATGAAATTTTTGTTTGGAAATCTAATTTTTATTCTATAGTAATCATTTTTTTAAATCCAAATAATCTTGCCTCTTATAATACCAAATGTTGTTATTAACACAGGACTTTTAAAATTGCACTTATTGCATGAGATTGTTTTTAAAGCATGAGATTGTTCTATTTGGAATTGTATCATGATCAATCTGAATAGAAAGCAAAATTTTTTGGAAAATCTAAACATTGCTATGTTGGTCATTATCAAATATGTTATTTTCTGATAATCATGTAGAGGTCTGAGTAGAAGAGGTCAAATGATCTTGGGCAGAAAGTCAGTGGAGCAGGCACCATTCTGGCACCAAGATTTCAAACACCTCATGTTTTATGTAGTTTTAAAAAACTGCATGACTTGAAAGTGATCCTTCATTTATGGAACATACTTTATCCTAGATATTTTTTCCATTTTGAACATTCAAAATATAACAACTTAGATAGATATATAAACTGACAGATTTGAGATTTGTTCCTTCACAGTTGTGGTCATTTTGGTGCCACACTTGACCGACTATTTCACTGGGCAGCACTGTTGCTTCATTACTAGGTCAGTCACTTTGTTACTTACTCTAGGTGCCATTCATGATGATTACAGACTGTTTTCCACCATCATTCCTAGCAAGAGGAAGCTTTCATTATGGGAATTTAAGTCTTCCTTGAGTTTAAATGAATAAGACATTGGAAATCAAAATTCAGTTCAGTGAAGTTTCATAATCCACAGAACTGATTCAGAGAAATTCTTATCACTTTTCCCAAGGTCAGTGTTTTTAGATATCTTTAGATAGCAAATAATTTCTGCATTTATTAGCTATGTTATCTATGATGCAAGTAATTCTCTTTCCAGTTGAGGGTTATAGTTCAGGGAGGTGGGTAAACTATCTCCCATCTTTCTGGTGACTTCTTGGAGTATAGAATTCACCACTTATCCTTACGTCCTCAAAGGGTTATGGTGGAGTAGAACTTAATGCAAATAGCCTTCTATTTTTAATAGGAATTTAGAAAATACTTAACTTAGAATTATATAGAATTGTTTTCTTTAGAAACCAGAACTATTTATTTGTATTTAAAGCACTGTTTATTATTTGTACCGATTCTTACCCTTGCGTGTGAATAAATGCTAGACAGTTTCTGTGTGGTTGTGTCTTCTCTGGTCCATTTATTGGAATGAAGACTGCAGCTCTCTAGTAGGCTTATTTCCACTCAGGGGGTCCAGGTGGAGTTCTGCTTCCAGGTGTCTTCTCTGCAGAGGGCTCCAGTTGGAGAATTCACCTGAGAGGCAGTTTTCTTCACCCTTTTGCCTACCTTCCTCTATTGTTAACGATAAGAAAAGATACTAGCTATTCTCATTGCAAATGTGACTATTTGAACTTACAGTTCATACCTTAGTGAGTCTCCCTCTCAAAATAGAAGTTTCAAAAGAAATATGTATATCATAAATATGCTGAAAGAAGTCTCATGAAAGACTTGTAAAATACAAGTGTTAACTTGGTCTACTATTAAGAGGTAACCTGTACTTTAAGTAAAATTATTCTTTGGTTTACTCTTGCTAAAATCATGTCACTTATCATTTTATTTATATAAGAGTGAAGAACTGAAGAAAATATTAAGAATTATGAACTACTTAATTTCAGCTCCTATTTTATCAAATGCAAAATGTGACTTTCTGTGGTTGGCATCTCAGTAATGGGAGAAAGGATCAAATGAAGAGCGATTTTTTTTTCCCAAAATATGCTTTAAATCATTTGCCCCAGTTTTATGAATCTAGATATTCCACAACCCTGTCCCTTGTCTATTAAGATGTGCAGTTAATTTTCAAATAAGACAATATATCTGTGGATTTTTCTACTGTATAAAAGAACAAGATCTCTTCTTGCCTTATAAGTTAAATGTTACCCAGTTACAATGGCACACACCTATAATCCCAACAGATCAGAAGCTGAGGAAAGAGGATCGCAATTTCAAAGCCAGCCTCAGCAACATAGTGAGACCCTGAGCATCTCAGTGAGACCTGGTCTCTAAATAAATATAAAAAGAGCTGAGAATGTGGTTCAGTGGTGAAGTGCCCCTGGGTTCAATCCTCAGTACCAAAAAGTTAAGTTAAATGTTAACCATTTCCTGTGTGTAATCATTATGTTCCTAAAATACAATTTGATTCCATCTTATTTATCCTTGATTTCTCTTTCTCTCCTGCTTCTATCCAATCCTTGGGTAAGTCCTGTCAATTATCCAAAATACATCTTGAGTCCAACTACATCTCACCAAGTCCCACAGTACCATTTTTGTTCAAGCCACTGTCATCTCTTTCCTGAACTGTTGTAGTATCTTCCTAATTATCTCCCTGCCTCAACTGTTGCCCCCTATAGCCAGTTTTCCACACAGTAACTGGAGCAATCCTTTTAAATTATTTTGAAATAATTTCTCAAGCCATTGCTTGGTGGTACATGTCTGTGGTCCCAACTACTCAAGAGACTGAGCCAGGAGATTTAATTCAGCCTGGCAGTTCATAACCAACCTGGGCTTTCCATCACACCTACAATAAAATCCAAAGAACTATAAGTTTTTAAATGACAAAAGTCATTATAGTTGTACATATTGACGGGATTTGTTGTTACATATATGTGCATGCACATAATACATAATAATATATAATTTGGCTAATATCACTCGCCACCTCCCATTTTTTGGTCCCTTTCCTCTTTTGATCTCCCTTTGATTTTGAGAAGATCCACCCCCACCCATTTTCCTTTTTCCTCTCTGGCTTTGGCATATGAGAGAAAGTATAACCCTTAAACCGAGTTTGACTTATTTTGCTTAATATGATGGTCTCTAGGTCCATCCATTTTCATGCAAATGACATAATTTTATTTTTCTTTATGGCTGAATAAAACTCTATTGTGTGTACACCACATTTTCTTTATCCATTCATCTGTTGAAGGATACCTACACTGGTTCCATAGTTTGTCTATTGTGAATTGTGCTGCTATAAACATTGGTATGCATGAATCACTAGTAAGATGACTTTAATTCTTTAGGATAAATACCCAGAAGTGATATAGCTGGGTCATATGGTAGTTCCATGCATAGTCTTTTGACATTGATTTCCTCAATGTCAAAACCTCCACATTGATTTCCATAGCAATTGTACTAATTTGCAGTCCCACCAACAGTGTCCTTCTTCTCCACATCCTCTCCAGCATTTATTATTAGTAGTAGTATTTTTAATGACTGCCATTCTGATTGGTATAAGATGATATCTGAGATTTGCCATTTCCCTAATTGCTAGCAATATTGAACATTTTTTCATATATTTGAGAAATGTTTACTTAATTCATTTACCCATTTATTAATTGGGTTACGTGATTTTTTTGGTGTAAAGTTTTTTGAGCTCTATATATTCTTGATGTTAATCCTCTGTCAAAAGAGTAGCTAGCAAAGATTTTCTCCCATTCTGTGGGTTCTCTCTTCACATTTCTAATTGTTTCCTTTGCTGTGCAGTTTTTTAATTTGATGTTGTCCCATTTACTAACTCTTGGCATTATTTCCTGAACTTAGGGGTCCACTTAAGAAAGCAATGACTTGTTCTTGACTACTTGTCTGACCCTGCTGCCTCCATTTCTCCCCTTGCTCACTGTGCTGCTGCCATACTGGCCTCGGTGCTGTTCCATAGCACAAGGGAGCACCTACCTCAGTTCCTTGACATCAGCAGTTCTCTGATTGCCTGGAATACTCTTGCCACAGGGCCACAGAACAGAGCCCACTCCTTCATTTGACTCATGTCTGCTCAAATGTCAGTGATTAAGTGGTTGTGTTTGGCCTCCCTCCTAAAAGTACAGTCCCGTCACTTTTCATCACTCCTTGGTTTTTCATTTTCTAATGAACTTATCACTACCCAACATGATATATAAATCAATTTTGTCTCTTCACTAGTTGAATGTAAGCAGGAACTCTTACTTCTGCTGTATCACCAGAATTTAAAATAGGGCCTGGCATGTAATACGTGCTCAGTAAATATATATTGAATAAAATATCAGAATCTTGGTATTTGAGAGTTGAAGGGTCTTGTGAAACCATCCCATATCACCTCTTCAGTGTCCATATGGAAAAAATAGAAACCCAGAAACAAAGTGATTTGACCAAGACCACATAGTTAATGGGTGCTATGGTTTGAGTGTATCCCTAAAGGGTTCATGTGTTGAACTTTAATCCCCATTATGATTATGAAGTATTACAAGAATGGAAGTTTATTCTAAGCCAACACCATAACGTTTAACGGTGGGGCCCTTGGGAGGTGATGAGGATTGCATAGGGTAGTCAGAGAGATGTACTCATGATTACAAACTGGTAACTATGAGAGGAAGAGAGACCAGAGCACACACACACACCTACTCCTCATCTTGCCATGTGATACTATCTTCTCAAAACAGCCACCAAAAAGATGATGGAATGAGACAGACGTTACCCTACATATATGAACGAAAATACAAATGGTGTGACTCTTTGTGTACAACCAGAGACATGAAAAATGATGCTGTATTTCTGTAATATGATTTGAATTGCATTCTGCTGTCATATATATAACAAATTAGAATAAATAAAATTTTAAAAAACCTCAGCCAGCAAGAAGGCCATCACTAGATGTGACCCCCTCAACCTTGGATGGACCTCCAGAACCATGAGCCAAAATAAACCTCTTTTCTTTATAAAATAGCTTGCCACAGGCATTCCATTTAGTAATACAAAATGGACTAATATAATGGGACAGCTTTAGGTAGAACCCAGACCTACAAACATGCATCCTGGTGTACATTGCTTTGTCTTAACTGGCCTGTGCCACCTCTTTTCATACAGCACACAAGCTAAAAATGGTTTTTACTTTTTTAAGTGGTTGAGGGGGAAAAAAAGAACACAATCTTTTGACACAAGAAAATGATGTGAAATTCAAATTTCAGTGTCCATAAATGAATTTTATTAGAACACATTTACATCCATGCATTTACATATTGTCTATGACTGCTTTCCTACTTTAACAGCATATTTGAGTAGTTAGAACAAAAACTGTGTGGCCCATAAAGTCTAAAATATTTACTAACTGTTTTTTTTACAGAACAGAGAGTGGCTCTAGACATTGCATTACTGAAAAACCTTTGTGGTGTCAAAATTCTGGGGGTACACAGAAAATAAAAAGCAGCATAGAGGTTACAGAACGCCATGCACTGAGTATTACTGGTTCTGTATTCATATCCCTGACTCCTTAAACATCCTTTGGGATAGGAAATGGGCTGTCCCAGCCCCAGTAGGATTACTATACTGCAGAAAATTTAAATTCCCTCTTTGTCCATGTGAGAAAGTGAAAGCCCTAGGAGCTTTGGCCTCACATATGCCCCAGTTAGATCTCTATCCCCAGTAGTGAGTAGTGACAAAAACCCTACTTCAATGACCTTATGGTAGCGCTCTTATTGGCTCATGTAACTGAAAAGTCCAGGTGTTCAAATGATATGGTCAGCATCTGTCTTGATTGTGTTTTCCTCTGGGTTGGTTTTATTCTCAGGCAGCCTGTATTCATCATCTCTGGAGAGAGATTTGAATCCCAGGTTTAAAAAAAAACAAAACAAAACTGATCTGTCAGAGTCTATCCCAGGACACGGCTCTATACCTTTTCTCGATATTCAATCTTGCTTGGCTAGAAGTAATTGTTACCCAGAATGGCATATTATTTTGACATGCTCTTAGAACTTCCTAAGCTAGAAATATAATTAAAAATTCAGCCCTCCTCTCCTGAAAACAGTCCTCTCCCATTTGAGAAGCTTTTTGGTGGGTGATCTCATCAGAAGGAAACTTGCTTCCTCGCCAGACACATGAGGCATCTGCCACATGCCAGGCATGGAGGGTACAAAGAGTAAGGCATGGTGCCTGTGCAGTGTCACATGCCATGATAAAGGGAAGACTCGGGAGCTGTGGGAGAGCAGAGGTTAGGCACCTAACTCAGCTTGGACAGGAGGTGAGGGAGAGATGATCTCCTATAAGTATCACCTGAGCTGGGCACTGAAGGATGTCAAAACATAAGCCGGGCTAAGGGGTTAAGAAGAGCACTGGAGCAAGAACAAAAGCCCGAAGTGGAAGAGCTTGAGATTTAAT